TTGGAGTTTCGCAATCCTGACCCTATCATTTGACTTTCGAAGTAGTCTATCAGCTCGAATTGAATGCTCATGTACACGTTTTGATATGCAGGTTCCACTTTGCCAAGGCGGGCGCCCACGTCCACAAGTGCGGTCCCAGCAATTGTCCAGACAGTTACGACGAGCTCAACTGGGTCAACACGTCGGCCGTGGAGTCCGTCAACAGCTTTCTAAAGGGCTTCCGCGCACTCGGATGGTACTCGGGGCTTGATAGCTTCATGGTGATCCTCCCCCTGCTGCTAGGCGCCTATGACGCAGCTCTGATGCGCGTCGATGACGCCAAACTGTCCATAGCCGCGGGCGCTTGGACGATTGCGGTTCGCAAGGCGCTACTCCAAGGTTAGGTAGTTGTTGATGTGAAAGGTGGTTGTTGCGGCATGCGGTTTCAGTCCTAAAAAGATGACGCTTCAAGCAGGTAGGTTGGGGTGGTAGGTCGATCTGAGGTGAAGCAAATGGGGAGGAAGGGCTGGAGCATTGATACATCTAACATTGAGGTAGGTAAGTAGGTGGGTAGGTGGCCACTTGCTGTCTCTATGAGAATTTTTTTTCGTTTTTACGGCGGTACACTTTTTGAAACAAAATCTCGTATAGAGTATTAAATATATACCTACTTTACCTACCTTATAATAATAGAACCATCTTTCATACCGAAATCATTGGTTTTTGAAGCACCTACCTCACACCTACCCCCCCTACCTTTTGCTACTATGTATGCTGAGCTTGTGAGCCTTGAATACAATGCATCATGTTTTGCAACTCAACCATTCACTTCGGTGAACTATCATCAGATGCGGACGTGTAACCTTCGTCGGACTCGGGAAAGACAGGACGTAAATATATGCCTCTATACCCGGTATTGTTCCTACGTTCCAACTTGATCTGTTTCTCATATGTGACGCCCTTCAGACCTTGCATGAGCACCTTGAACTCCGTCACGATCATGGGACGATCGCGTCTACCAATATAGTTCTCGTATGCCTGTTTCAAGACGTCCACATGGCACGCCTTGCGCTCATCAAGAATACAATGGTCTGCAACAAAGTTGTTGAAGTGATCGTTGGCTTCAACATAACCTTCGAGCGCCTTCTGCATATCTTGAGGCAGCTTCTCTACGAGCGGAAGGCTGCCTCTCGCATACCACGCCATGCTTCCTCTCACAAGCCAAGCAAGCATTTGCTTCTTCCACTCCGGACTTTTGATCTTCTCCGCCAGATCCGGATCAATGAGCCGTTCGTTTGTATTCGGCCGGGGATTCTCCACAAATTCCCGCGTGAAGGGGAAAATCCGAAGTTTCTTCAGCGTTCCTGAGTCTTTCGTATCGAATCTGGGAAGGATGTTTGTGCAGACGATTGGCAGGCAACGCATCGTCACCTCGACAGGCTTCATGTGAAGCCCCCGTACCGTCATGGCTCCATCTCCAGAAGCAATGGACTTGAGGTTGGCAGCATTGTACGGCCTTTCGTCCGTCTCCTCCATGATGGCTATGTGCGCGCCCTCCAGCTGTAGAAGATGTGGCGTTGCGGCGCCTTCCGATCGAGAGCCGGCCCCAATGACGCAATCGCGATCCATGGTGACGCCGTATAGACCAATCGCGGCTGAAAGCATCGCAACAAGCTTCGACTTGCCAGAATTTGATGCGCCTTGCATGATGACAAACTGCTTCTCCCTACTATGCCCCGTGATGCCGTATCCGAGTGTCATTTGGAGAACGCGCACGATCTCTTTGGTTTGCACTTCCAACATGAATTTGTCAATCAACGGAGACGGATAGTCAGGTCCCTCGTACTCGGTCGAAGTCTCCTTCGAGAGCATGTTACTGGGATGGTGAGGTATCAGCTTACCTGTCACCAGGTGTACTGCACCGGATGTTGTATTGAGGAGATCTCGAGCAGCATTGAGCTCTTTGGCAAAGTTCTTGACCAGCAAAAGGCGTTTCGATGGAACGATGCAGCGGCTCGCAATCGGGACCGATTCCACGTCCGGCCCGTGCCATTTGTGTGACG